ACAAGAATAGAGACTCTACAATTTAGATTGGATTTGTGTGCACTTTTCTCCATTTCACTTAACTACAGCTTATGCCTTTTCTTGCTATTCTAACCTTAAATTCTGTTAAACCTGATACCATGAATTTCATGGCTGTCAGCAGTTTTTATGATTTATTCCGGCAGACTGGAAATCTGCTTCTATGCTGTTTTGCATCATCTTTCTTAAACATCAGATAATGACTTCTAATGTTGCCTCTTACTGAGGAGGCTTTCTGGAAAACAACTTTTAGTTTTGCTTTAAAATTATTTAAAGTATGTTTGAAGTTGTTATTTGTGATGAGCATTGCTGATATCTTTCAGTAGATATTTCTCTGAACCTTCCATATGGATTCAGCATTCCAAAATAAGCATGAAAGCAAAGCCTTATCATTTGAAGTGGAATCAGCTCCCTGATGTTTCTTATGTTGTTTTAGGGAATTGCACTGAGAGGACTTTTTATCATTGACAAGGAAGGAGTTATTCAACACTCCACCATTAATAATCTTGCAATTGGCCGAAGTGTTGATGAAACATTGAGGACACTTCAGGTAATAGACATATCTGGGCGCCCGTATTATACTATCATTAGACAATCTGCTGCTTAGAGTGATAATTAATTTGGTCTCGTGCGACAGGCATTGCAATATGTTCAGGAGAACCCAGATGAAGTATGCCCAGCAGGGTGGAAGCCTGGTGACAAGTCAATGAAGCCAGATCCTAAGGGCAGCAAAGAATACTTTGCATCCATATAAGGGGATGGGATGGTGCAATATCTCTGTTCATTTGTTGTTTAGAGAGGTTGTAGAGCTTCTGTAACTTTTTTTCGTGACTTGCAGCTTTGAGATTTGAGCATTTTTCCGAATAAATTGCACACCTGATCTATGCCCAAGTCATCCATATTTTCTGAACTTAGATCATAGATCAATAATGACACCATATAGAAGGATGGGTTGATTATTATTCTCAGCCAGAAATTCGAACTTCTACTATCTATGAAGTTTCTAAATTCCATCCATTAATCTATATCAATTACTGCCATAACAATAGTGTCAAAAAAATCCATAACCTTAGGCTTTCTTCCTCAACATTTGATCTCTTGCTTCTTATTCACTTTATTTAGTAATTAAGGTAAATCTTTCAAACCACAACTTTTGTTTGATAAGGAATTGGGGCTTAATCTTGAGTTGAATTAATTAAATCCAAATCCAATGATACTCTACTCATTTTATATTATTTGTGGCATCACGCGAACTTGCATGTCCCCTAGGAAGTACCAAGTTCTTGGCGGTCTTAGTATGTGCATATTTGAATAGTGAAAATCACTTGGGAAATTTTCATAAAAATAACCAAGTTAAAGAATAATCTATATTTATATTATATTAAAAGCACGAAGTCCCTATCGAAATGTTATTCATCTTTTTACCCTTTAAAAATATATTTCACATTAGGCAAAATTATAATTTAAGCTACTTTACTAATATTTAGGTCTTCATTTAAATATTTTCCTAATATTTAGACCTTTAAAATCACTTATATTTTGTGTATCAAATTCTTCCTTGTTTAAACTACATAATATAACAAATTTGTAATTGAACTTTAACCAAACAATCTATTTCGTGCACTTTGAACTCCTTTTAGGTTTAGGAGTAATTTTATTTTTTTTGGTTATAAAATTTTAGGTTTATGCTTTGGAGGCTCTTTGTTTGTTATTAAATATTAGCCAATCAATTCTATTTCGACACTTTGAATTCCTTGCAGGTTTAGGTGTATTCTTTAATTTTGTTTATTTTCTTACACCAATAGATCAAGGAGGTTCCACATAAATTATGTCGCAGAGATTGATTACAGTATTTCAAGAATGAACCAAGTTTGAAATTATTTATATCCTTCCGTAATTCTTTGTACAAACTGATTCCATATTTTTGTATGTATTTCAAGAATGGATCAAGTTTGTAATTTTGTACTTCAACAATATATTTGTAATTAATTCATGAAGTTTTACTTTTTTGGAGAAAATATTAGAGCGAGTCCGCCTTTTTGCTTTCACAAGGAAGTTTGAGTTCAATCAGTCTAAATTATTATGGTAAGTCTAGCTCTAAGGCTGTTTATTTATTTGAGAAGTATTATCGGCAGATTTTTATTATGTTAATACTGATGATTTTCTTCAAGTCATGCCTATGATCTATTCTATAGAAAAATTATTGATCGATCTAATATATATGTTTGGTTCGCACATCTTAATTGTTTATCAAATCTATTATCTCCCACGAGCATAGAGATATCGAATAACTATGCGTAAGTAAATGAGTAGAAGACATTTTGTTATATACACATAACACATGCATAGAAAAGTTTGAGAGTCGGTATTTGAAAATTCTCTTTCTTTGCTGCATCTTCAAGTGAAGCCAAATTTATGGTTGAGGGAGAATGGTAAACTAGAATGAAAAGGTGTCGACATGGAAGTAAAGAAAAAAAGAGATCTAGGCAGACAAAAATTGAATTGTTATCTTGATTATGATTAAGATGAATATTTTTATGGTTGAGGGAGAACAGTAAACTAGAATGAAAAGGTGTCGACATGGAAGTAAAGAAAAAAAGAGATCTAGGCAGACAAAAATTGAATTGTTATCTTGATTATGATTAAGATGAATATTTTTATGGTTGAGGGAGAACGGTAAACTAGAATGAAAAGGTGTCGACATGGAAGTAAAGAAAAAAAGAGATCTAGGCAGACAAAAATTGAATTGTTATCTTGATTATGATTAAGATGAATATTTTTATGGTTGAGGGAGAACGGTAAACTAGAATGAAAAGGTGTCGACATGGAAGTAAAGAAAAAAAGAGATCTAGGCAGACAAAAATTGAATTGTTATCTTGATTATGATTAAGATGAATATTTTTATGGTTGAGGGAGAACGGTAAACTAGAATGAAAAGGTGTCGACATGGAAGTAAAGAAAAAAAGAGATCTAGGCAGACAAAAATTGAATTGTTATCTTGATTATGATTAAGATGAATATTTTTATGGTTGAGGGAGAACGGTAAACTAGAATGAAAAGGTGTCGACATGGAAGTAAAGAAAAAAAGAGATCTAGGCAGACAAAAATTGAATTGTTATCTTGATTATGATTAAGATGAATATTTAATTTCGAGGTCACTTTATTTTTTATAGGTAATAGGCTAAAATCTCAAGAATAACGTTCAAAATCTATTTAAATCAAAGAGAGCATGATTTTTTGGTTTCTGGTGGGCAGCCTTAGTCGTGATGCTTTTTTTCCCCCTTCAATTTTGTTCTTTTAATAATAAGCTAAATAAATTTACAGCATTAATATCCGAGTTGAACTCTAACTTTTAGTTTTCACCTTCTAATACTAAGTGAATTCTACTTCTCAGACCCTTTCTAAACTGTCCTAGACTCAGAGTACTCCCTCTTTCTGTCCTTAAAGAACGGTGCATACTTCCTTAAAAAGAGACGCTGAAGTATTATATCTAATTAAAATACAAAATACGCTCTATTTTTCTTAAACTTTTATATGTATTGACATGATTGATTAAACATTTGGGTTTGTTTCTTCGTTTCATATTACGTAATAGAGTTTCTGTCTTTTAAGAAATTTAGGTTTTGTTTGTATGCATATTATGGGACAACTATTGCATTCTTTCTTGGTTATTATAGGGAGGATAGCCTCCTTGGTTTTCAAAAGCCAACAGTTAATATCTAGGTAAGTTTTTTACTTCTTTTTCGTGTTTGATTCAATTCTTCCGTTCTAAATATGTTTGATATCTTCCTTCTTTCTCCTCGGTCATCGGCAATTTTCGATACAAAACATTATGCTTAAAGATAAATTAAGTAGGCGTTTGGACATATGAATTGTAAAATTCGAAAAAATGGTGAAAAAAATTTTCAAGTAAAAATGATATTTGAAATTTAGAGTTGTGTTTGGACATAAATTTCAGTTTGGGTTGTTTTTGAAGTTTTGTGAGTGAAATTTGTGAAAAACAACTTTTTGCAGTTTTTCAAAATGCATCTTCAAGCGAAAAATAAAATTTTTATAAACAAACACTGATTTCGAAAAAAAATAAAATATTTTTGGAAAAATCTTCCATCAAATTTTATGTCCAAACGGGCTCTAAATCTTAACATTATAACTTTGAATTCAGTTAAAATTTTCTTTACTAATTCCTTAATTTCTTTAGTTAAACTATGGAGGAAATCGGAATATAATGACTTTAAAAAGAAGATATCTTTATACTAGACCAAATATAAAATAAATTCTCCTCATCCTTTGAAATCTTTATTAAGCTTAGCTAAATCAGATCAATAGTGATCATTTTTAAGAATTTACACTTTTTCCTATGATATTTATTTTATAGCTATTTATGTAATTTCTTTAAGTCACGTACTTCATGTGTGGCGCATATAATTTTTATTGAATGACGCGGTAAATACGTCCAACGCACGTACACTAAAACTAGTAATGAATAAAGGTGACATGGATATTTTCTCCAACTCATCTCCAGAAAGAGTTGCACTGTAGTTGCCAAAGCTTGGCACGAGGAGTGAAGTGATTGCATAGAAAAAGGATCATCTTCGAAGGATTAAAAAGGCCTGGAGGTCCAACACAAGTGTAAAGTAAAAGAGGCTCAGCAACGATACAGTGGAAGAAGCACCAGAGGGATACTCAAAAATTAAAGAAAGACAACATTAAGTCATGGGGAAAGAGTAGATCAACAAAAACTTCAATATAACACTATGCAAATAAGAAAATGGCATATAATTTATAACATATAAAATCGTTGCAGACAACTGAATGTTGATACAATGATACCTACACTGCAGCTTGGAAAATCAACAGAATTTATAGTAAGAATTTAACGTGCCCATCATCTCTAACCGTTATGTTTTTGTTGTTTTGTACCAATCTTGGAAATTGGAATACGTAACTGACTAATTAACATAGCACATTTAACATAATTAAGATAGTTAAATGAGTGACTTTGATTTTTTACAATATTGAGTAGTTAAATAAAGCTGGGGGAAATAGAAAAATGCCAAAAAAAGGAGAAAAAAGATAAATAAGATCCTTGACCAAAGAAAGGTGCCAAGTCATCTTGTCTATTCCCCCTCCCTAATTGATAAACAATATTCCATAATCAGATTCAGTAATTACAGAATATTTACAAATTTTATAACAGTATTGTTGAATGAACTCCCACCATGCCTTGGATGCTCATTTGCTAAATGTGGACACTCCAAATCCATGCTGCCAGAATATGAGAATAACATACGCTTTTGTTTGCAAGGAAGAATAGGGCCCATTCTTCAAAGAGGTCACAAGCAGTAGGTAGAAAAAGCTCCACAGCCAACAAACAGATGCAGTTTACACGAAGAAAAACTCCACAGTATCTTTCTACTTTCACTTTCTAATTGATCCAAGGTGTAGAAAATAGCGCACTGAATATTTCTCACTTTTTAGGAAGGCATCAATTCGACATATATTAATTGCAGGGAAGCATGTCGTGTCTCCAAATCACTGTATTAATTGCATGAACACTTGCACATGCACATATACATGCAACTAAAAGGACTGATACCATATTAAAACATCTCCATCGATATCTATATATTTTGTTATTACTACTGAACCACATCAAAAGGAAAAAAAAAACTACGGAACCAAGCTACACTCTGATGCAAACAAAAATGAGAAAAATGTACCTCCACTCCATCTCGCACAGACACCCCTAAATCTTGGGACTAAGGCACGAGCAATGAACTTCCGAGTCCTTGTATCTTTCGCTCCTAATACAGACGAAATGTCTTCAATAAGTTATCACTCTTCTTGAAAGACCTGTTAAAAGCAACTCATAAGCTAAAAAAACAAGAAAAGAAAGATGCAATAACCTGACATAGCATCATTTTCTGTCCCAATCTACACTAGCATCTAAACTAAAGTAAAATAAATTCTATAAATCCTATTCCTGGATACACACTGATATTCTACAATATCATGTAAAGGAATCTCGAGATATACTATTCCTGGGTATATCCTCATATATCTACTGGGTATTTTACAATATTAGGCAAAGTAAATCATGACATAGAAAAAGAGACAAAAATCAATCTCACTCTTGTATTTATTTTCTTTTTACACAATTTGTATTTCTATTCAAGGAATTTACCAGGGAGCATTGCTCTTCCAGTGCGTCTAAATTAATGTATATAATCTTTTAGCTGTTCCTTGCATAAGACATCAGATAACTGATCCATAAAGTCAACAACAACTTTTATGCCAGGTATATGACTCTGAGGAAACATCTAATTTATCAGCATCCATGAAACCTGAGATTTGCTATGTAGTAATTACATCTTTTGGTTGCCTTGGTGCACATTTTAGCTGGAAGCTGCTAAGCGTTTGTGTAAGACTTCTCTCTTGACTGAAGGACAGAGCAAACTAGAATATAACTGATACTTCAGTGAACAGCAAAAGTTAGATAGGTTTCACTTCTATCCGCACAAATAAGCTTACATGCTTTGACCCAGAATTAGTTCAATAAGATTTGTTGAAGGGAGCAGCCGACAGACTATGTAAAGAAACATACAAATAAATGAACAAAAACTTGCCCTATTGGTACATCAATAAGAAGTCTGGTGATATTTGCAACAAACCTTCCCCCTCAGTGTCAATGACAGTCCAAATTAATGTGTTTCAGATAAAGAGAGGACTTTCGTCAATTGGAAGCTCGGCAAGTACCATCTCTACTAAAGCACACTAAAGTAAATACGCTAAAAGTTTGTTGATCATACTTGGTGAATCAAGTGAGTTACATAGTTTTGGTGCAACGGTAAAAGCTGCCGCCATGTGACCAGGAGGTCACGGGTTCAAGCCGCGGAAACATCCTCTTGTAGAAATGCAAGGTAAGGCTGCGTACATAAGACCCAATGTGGTTCAACCCTTCCCTGGACACAGCGATAGCAGGAGCTTAGTGCACCGGGCTACCCCCTCCACGTAATATGCAGTCAAACAGTGTCAACATGGTAGCATCCTCCTCACTTATATCTCATATCATAAAGTGTTAGCCTGCCTACGATGGCTACCCCAACGGCGTCGACGAGCTCTCCTCTTTCTCCCATCCAGTTTTGCCTTAGCTTTTTCTGTCAAGTCTCTTTCACCACGTCGCTTGTACATCTTGAAAGTCATATTTCTCTCTGCGGCCATTTTTCTCACCTTCTCTGTAATCTCTGCAGCAATCTGTCTATTATAAAGCTTCCTTAGACCCCACATAAGCTTAGCAAACGTGTCTGGCTGAGGCATCAAACCGGCATCCATCATATCTAAACAGTACGAACAAGCCTCTTTCACATGTCCATTTGAAAACAATGCATGAATCCAAATGGTCCATGCATACGCATTAAGCTCACATCCTTTGGTCATTATGCAACTCCAGACATCTTTACCTAGTTCAAGTTTCTCTGCTCGTAACAAAGTATTCAACAGGTCCTTCAGAGTACCATATTGAGGAGCAGACAGAAGACCTCGTCCGATCATTTCTTTAAAGTAATCACAAGCTTCTATTAGACGCCCTTGATCAACACAACCATTAATCATAATGACAAAGGTGTCAACCCCCGGACTGATCCCGTTCGCTTCTATTTGGTTCCATGCTTGCACAGCTTCATCAATTTCCCCCAATTTACAAGCTAACCGAATTACTGTATTATAGATGCTAAGGTCAGGAGGTATACAGATATTTTCCATTTCCTTAACAAGTTCCAAACACTCTTCCAACTCTTCCTTCTTCTCATGGGCTAACATTATATGCAAATAAGTAGTCTGATTTGGATTATACCCTTTCTGCAGCATATTATCCAGAAGTTCATAACCTTTTTCAATCTTTCCCCACTTACAAAATCCACTTATCAAGGTAGTATACGTCACAACATCAGCTTCACATCCGCTTCTCTCCATATCCAAGAATATCCGCATAGCTTCCTCCATCTTGTCTTGCGAACAAAGCGCCTGAATTACTATTGTATAAGAAGTTGCATTAGGGTTGCAACCTTTTCTTCTCATCTCCTGCAGAAGATCAAATGCATCAGCCATTTTCCTAGACACTGCATAACCATTGAGCAAGTTGTTATAAACCACAATGTCTGGCTCGAAACCTGCCTCCCTCATTTTCACCAACACGACTTTCGCCTCCATAAGCTTCCCTTCTTTACACCAACCATATAACAATGAAGTAAAATGCTTTATGGTAGGGCTAAACCTAATCCTCATTTCGTCAAACAATACAGCTGCCTCTTTTACGCTACCATTCTTACACAAAGCATCCAACAAACACCCGAAAACATAGTCATCTGGCTCACAACCATATTTGGGCATCTCATCCAACACTTGGATCGCTTTCTTTACCATTCTAGCTGAGGCAAATCTCCTCATCAATACAATAAACAGTTCTGGTGTCAAAAACTGAGGATTCTCTCTCCTCATCTCCTCAACAAGTGCCCATACAGTACCAAACTGCCTCATTTTCCCCAAAATCTTGACCATTGATTTGTATGTATCATGACTATGCCTATAACCAGGTTGCTTTGAGGCCCATACAAAGAATCTGTAGCCTAAATTCCCAGCATCACCACAACGACTCAACACACGTTCGGTCAAGCCTGAACGTACTAGGANTCATGACTATGCCTATAACCAGGTTGCTTTGAGGCCCATACAAAGAATCTGTAGCCTAAATTCCCAGCATCACCACAACGACTCAACACACGTTCGGTCAAGCCTGAACGTACCAGGATACCAGATTCTTGCAAAGCAAGCTCAAGTTTTGGAACCCTTGAGTGAAACTTTCTCAAAATTCTATAAACCTTCTCTACATCAGCTGAAAATTCATCATGATTATTGGAAGAATTTAAAAGGGTTGACTCAGAGTGTAAAAAAGATTTACCCTTTGAGGCCATTTCCGGTAGAATGTGCAGTGAAGATGCTGCACGGAGGCTCAGTGATGAAGGCAAAAGACTGATACTTCTCAACATCAAATTGGTTTTGTTAGGTGGGTTTTGGAATTTGGTTGGGATTAACGCTGGGAGTGGGAGGTTCACGGTGGAGGGAGGTGGCAATTAGCGCCGTTATGGTGTATGTACGGTGGTTGGTATATTACTAGTATGTATGACATGTGATAGTTTAAATATTTATTTTATGCATAATAATACAACAATCATCCAAGTTCCGAAAAATATTACTTATATTAGCATAATACGTAAATTCAAAATGAAAGATTATCATCCGAACTTATACAAATGATCAATTTAGTCATGTTAATTAAATAATTATGTATTGTAGTTTAAAAGTATTTAATGTGATAATATCTTAGCAAACAGTTCTTTGTAGACGATGTTTTTTTTATGTATGTTTCCTTCTATTGCTTTGGTCGCTCGGCCATAACCAGAACTCTTGTTGTTGATATTGATATCCCTCTTCAAAATGTAATATATAGTTATTCGTGCAAGAAAATATATTGTTCTAAATATAGTCCAATATTTATGATATTTGTCCTTGTGTTTTATTTATTATATAATTACAAAATATAAACATAATGAAAATTATTTTTCCACAAATTAAAAAAGATATTCTTTAGTTTCGGAAGAGAAGCACATTGAACAGTATCATAATATTTGTATGTATGACGTTATTGTCAAAACTTCTGTATGTGTACTATTACATAAGTTATTCGGGGATCTAAGTTTTTCAGTAACATGATGAACATATTTTTTTCAAAATCAACCTATATGCAATGTAACATCAATTTTAACTTAGTCTATTATATATAAGGGAACACTAACATACATAAGAGATAATGAACTTGACAACAAAAAGTTAAGTTTCTAATAATGAAACTAAGTGTCCCAATTCACTCCAAAATATTTTCGGAACCAAAGCAACCATCCGGACAAGTCATCAAACATCAAATACACATACGAGAAATATCAAATAGGGGAAACATGGTCAAAAATACATAAAACGTTCGACCGGGTCATTACACCTAGAAAGCAAAACAAACTCTTCAGTTTTATTTACCTATGATCACACTTCTCAATATACAATATAGGTTATAAGTAAAGATTAATTGACTCAAACCTAAATAACTTTTGGACGTGGTTCTTCAGTAGAGCAACTTAATTCTCTCAAAGCAATTCTTGCTATGAATGCAATTTGCCTTGAATAAATTTTGTGTTTGTGTGAAATAATAGTAGTCTTTTATAGTAGCAATATGATGCTTTATATAAGAGTAAGGTTGAATGAATCCTTTTCAATTTTAGCTCCGTGACCTAAAATAATGCGATCACTTCTTAAGAAAAATAAATCTTAAATGGATTCTATTTTATTTCCTCAAAAGTTCCTTCACGCGTTTTTTTATTTCTATAAAAGTATTTTCATATTTGAAATCCTTTTTGACCATAAATTCCTTCTGTTAAAATTTTTCTTGTAGTCCACGAATAAAATTTTCAAGTAATTTGACTACCAACAACAATCGGGTTTTCCAGCTTAATCTTTCTTGTACTAGGAAACAATTTCTAGCTTCTGATTAACATGCTTCAAGAGACCTGGTTTTACAGCCGCTTGTTAATTATCAAAATCAACTAAACTTATTTTAATAAATTTTCCTTTTTTGATGATGACAAACTTATGTGCAACATTTCGCATAAAAAGTTCCATAGTCAGCTCATGTGCTCCAAGATGTCTGTGTTTTCATAAGTGTAAGGGACTCATATTCTATTTATTGGAACCTTATAGATGGCTAGGCATAAGAAGTAGATTGGTTCAATATTATTCTTGAAAATAGACTTCTTAAATTATTTTATCAGATCATCACATAATCGAAACATAAAGACCAGGTTCGTTGATCAGTTTATGTGCATATCATCAACTACTATCATCCCCTTTTGATATCATAAAAAACAAAATATTAATAGAGTCAAAAGTGAGAATTAATCAATATCAAACACATGGTTACCGAGCTACACTAACATGCACATAATGTCAAAAGTTCAAAAGTTTGATCTAAGAATATTATCCATATTTAAAGAGATAAATTGAGACAAATAACGAAAATTATATTCATTGAGTGAACCTTAGTACCACATTAAGCCGCCCTTATGGGTCCAAACGAAAAGACAATTACACAAACTCATCAACTGCCACAAAAAATACTTATCACAAGAAAACTAGTCTTAGAAGGGACTGTATTAGGAGACAGGGACTAGACTGGGCTAAAGGTAGGAATAAGGACCAGGTCCATTTTCTAGAGGAAGGGACAAAGGATACACATTGTAGCAATCTCTCAAGACAAGTTGTAGTTGCCTCTTGATCTCTTATTATTTTTTTCCTAGGTTACTTCTTTTCCTCTTTCAAAGAGGCAATCTCCTCATTTCGCCTCTTATTCTCCTCCTTAGCTTCCTTTAGATGAGCTTCCTTTAGATCATTGATCAACTGGGTGATCAGATTATTGCTCTTAGTATCAGGTTCCTTGTCCAGAAGGTCACACTCCTATAGTATAACTCTATCAAACATATCCTTTTTTGTTCCCTTCCTTCCTTCTCCAACTGGGACCTTTAAGTAAACAAACACTTGAGTGAGCAAAAGCCAATACGACATTACATGTTTTCCCTTAGAAAGAGTCGTTGCCCATGCCAAGTGCTTGATCATTATTATGGGGAGGTTCAACAACATAGTCTTGTCAAGAACCTCTATCACTGCCAAGTCTAATACAGTGTCCTCATTTCTTCTTTTCGTCCTAGAAACATACACTTGTTCACCAACTCATACAAGAGCTTGTGAACTGGGTTCACTCTTCTTTGTACACCTTCTCATCCCCAGTCTTTCTCCCCTGGGAGAATTTTACAGTTAGATACCCATCTTATTGACCCTCTGCAAAATAGTTCTCACAGTTTCATCCTCCAACAATTAAAGGTTGGAGTAGAATTTACAGACTTCCTCCTTGTGGACTACTCGAAGTGCATAAAGAAACAAATGCGTCCACTGTAAAAAGTCCAGCTTTTTCTTTCAACTCCTTCATTCCCACTTCACCAACAACTTCAGGGTCCATCACTCTTCCCTTCAACACGTTCAGATTACTGAACCAGTTTTCTTTGCCCATACTGACAACCTTTTCTTCTATCTTTCTCCTCATTTTGGAACATGCCCGTACATGTAACGACCCGATCGGTCATTTTGAGCTTTAGCGTTCCATTCGGTGGTTTGAGACTTTGAGTAGCTTTATATTATGTATTATGACTTGCTTGTATGGTTGATTTCGGTTTTCGAGCGATTCAGGATTGATTTGGGAGAATGATTCTCGTTTTAGAAGCTTTAAGTTGGGAGAGTTGACCATGGTTTGACTTTTCGGTAAACGGACTCGGAATCAGGTTTTAATTATTCTAATAATTTTTTATGATGATTTTGGACATGTCTACAAAGTTTGGTTAAATTTCGATAAGTTTTTGATAAGTTTGGGTTGTATGGTGATTGTTTTCGGTTTCGACGTCGATTTGAGCATAAAGGTTATCATATTGAGCAAATGACCTTTGATTCGTGTTTAAACCATTATATCTTTATCGTAATTTTAAAACCATAGCAATTGAAATCTTCAAGTTTCGGTATCGTATGAGGAATTCACGATCATTTTACTAAGAATTAGGTTACCTGATTTGTTTTAGATTAATTACAAAATTACCACTGAATTCTTCCATTGTTGATCACCTTACTGTCTTATTATTTTTATTCTGCTTTTATATGGCTTTTTGGTATTGTCCCTTCTTATTTATATTTTTATTAATGTGGTATTTATGCTTTCCTGAGCCGAGGGTCTACTGGAAATAACCTCTTTATCCTCACAAAGTAGGGGTAAGGTCTACATATACACTACCCTCCTCAGACCTCACGGTGTGGGATAATACTGGGTATGTTGTTGTTGTTGTTGTTGTTGTTGTTGTTGTTGTTGTTGTTGTTGTTGTTGTTGTTGTTGTTATTGTTGTATTTTCAAATATTGAAACCAACATATCTCCTTCATTATAAGGTCAAATGGAGTGATTCAAAAGCTAACTTGACTGGAATTTCACGAGGAGCTCATTGGAGGTATCAAAAGTGAATTTCGGGATCGTTTGGCACAAGAAACGAGGCAAAACAACTGTACATTTTTGGCTATTAATATTGTTAGAGTTTTTTCTCATCTTAAAAGTTTGGGATTGGGAAAATTCAAAGATGTTCTTCAAGTTTCTTCCATGGGGTAAGGTCTAAACCATAACCTAAGTATTTTCCTTTGATTCATTCCCTTGGTTTAAGCTTTAATCCATGATTTTAATTGAAAACTCATTTAATTCTTTAAATCAAGACCTATGGTTATGTCCTAAATTTTAAAAATTAAAAATGAGTTAGAGGCGTTTATTTCTCAATTCCTTTTGAGGTTTTGTTCTCCTATATTATGAGAACAACATACTCGAATTTGGCGAGTTTTGGAGGAGTATTTTGGGAGATAAGAGACCCAAATAGTGTGGGTTGGACTCTTGGGTTATGAACACCCAAGAGCGATGTTTTGGCAAATTGGTTGAGCTATCGGACTCCGATTGAGTCCGTTTTTATTTGTGTGAACTTGTATTGGTCCAGGATTCGCTCGAGTAAGCTTGGATTCAGAATCCAAGGCGGGCCCAATATTGATTTTTGGTTGACTTTGGGCTTTTGATTAAAGATTCGGCCTTTATCGATTGGTTTTTTTTTCTTTGGCATTATTTGATATTCTTGAGTTGCTTTTGGCTAGTTTCGAGCCGTTTAGAGGTCGGTACGCTCATGGCATTTCTAGAGTATTATTTGGCTTGCTCGGTATTAGATTCGTCTTGCTCGAGGTAAGTAACTTATCTAAACTTGGATTTTAGGGTATTTAACCTTGGGAACTGTGTTATAAGAGATGTATTGAGGTGACACACATGCTAGGTGACGAGCGTGTGGGCGTGCACCGAGGAATCATGATTCTAATTTTCTATTAGACTATGATCGGACTTGTTTTGCTATTATATCTTGTTACATCCATGTTCTCCCTACTTGTTTGATTGTGTGAGTTGTGAATCATGTTTAGGCTATATACTTATTCGGTTTTGACCCACTGAGGTCATCTTTGC